AAAAAATCTTTTTTTTTTTTTTAAATTTAAATCCCCTTTTGAGAAAAATAGCACAGAGTAGCACTGTTTACTGCCAGGCTAAAATTTTCAAAGTTGGTGCCAGAGTACAAACTAAACTTCTTCCCAGTGTAGACTCCCAAGGTGCCATGGCAGGATGCCAGGCCTTCTTATACTTTAATTCTGTAGCACTCTGCACGGAGGGACAAGCATGATTGTGTCTGGTCTGCAGGTCCCCCCCCCTTTTTTTTTAAAGATTTTATTTATTTGAGACAGAATGAGAGAGACAGAGCACATGAGAGGGGGGAGGGTCAGAGGGAGGAGCAGACTCCCTGCAGAGCAGGGAGCCCGATGCGGGACTCATCCAGGGACTCCAGGATCATGACCTGAGCCGAAGGCAGTCGCTTAACCGACTGAGCCACCCAGGCGCCCCTGCAGGTCCCCCTTTCAAATGAAAAACTCCCTTAAGGCAGGGCCTGGCCTGACTTCAGCACATGCTGGGGAGGGAGCACCAGACCTCAAAATTCCTCAAGCTTCAAGCCCTGCTCTGTCACTCCGGGGGGGGGGGGGCGGGGATTGCTGTGTGAACCTGTGTATATAGTATCCCTTCCTGTCTACACCTCGTTTTACAGATGTAAAGAGTAAAGAGGCACGGTCATCTGTGCTTGTCCTACTGCAAAAGCCTGTTGGGAGGCTCAAAGTACGTAAAGTAGGTGAAAGTTTTTTGAGACCATGGGGGAGAAAACCAGTTTTTTTCCCCCTTTTGCTCCTTTTCCAGCCTTTCTTTTTCTTTCTTTGAGAGCATAAGCAGGGTGAGGGGCAGAGGGAGAAGCAGACTCCCCACTGAGCAGGGAGCCTGATGACTCTGGATCATGACCCAAGCCAAAGGCAGGGGCTTAATTTACTGAGCCTCCCAGGTGCCCCCAACTCCTTTTCCAGCTTCTATTCTTGCTTTGGCCTGCACCCTCAGCCCCACGCTACACATGCCTTGTAAATGCAAATGGCATACCTCCCCCTTGAAAGGGACAAAGAGTTAGTGATATCCTTGGGAAGTTTTCTCCTGTACATTCGATAATACCTGGGGAGTGACCCCTCCCTAAACATTCTCCAGGACCTCTGACTCCAAACACCTTGCTGCCAAGACCCCTGGCTTCAGGGATTGAGTAACTAAGAAAGGACACCTGGACCCTGTCCTTAGTCTGACCAGTTCCCAGGCCTAAGAGGACATGTCCATCAGAGCAAAACCGCCAATAAGAACCCTAGACCCTAAGCAAAGAAGAGACCCCATGTTATTTTCCTAGTTCTCAGATGCTCTGTCCCTGCGTGTCTCATTCACTAAACTTTGCTGTCACTTCCTTCTGGCTCACATTTGATTTCCACCCTACATGAAGGTAAGGGCCCTCTTGGCTAGACCCATGGGACCCCCTCTCCAGGTCCTCAAACCTGGCCTGCCAGCATCATGAAAACTGGTTGTAACGTAGTCAGGTAAAGCAGAGGAGGCATTATATTTGAAGTTCAGACAGTGAAATCACTTTTTTTCTTTTTTTTACAGATTTTATTTACTTGACAAAGACAGCGGGAGAGGGAACACAAGCAGGGGGAGTGGGAGGGAGAAGCAGGGTTCCCACCGAGCAGGGAGCCCCATCCCAGGACCCTGGGACCATGACCTGAGCCATGCAATACTGGGGATATACTTACATGAAAAACCAGTTTGTTTATCCGAAATTCAGATGTAGGAGCACCTATTTTGCTCAATCAGCAGAGCATGTAACTTGCTCTCAGGGTCCTGAGTTCTATGCCCACATTGGGCATAGAGCTTACTAAAAATATATATTTTTTTTAGTGAAATTCAGATATAACTGGGCATCCTGTATTTTTATTCGCTAAATTTGACAAAACTATTTTAATATCCTATGCCGGATGGCTCAGTTGGTTAAGCATCTGCCTTCAGCTCAGGTCATGATCTCAGGGTCCTGAGATGGAGCCCTCATCCAGCTCTGCTTCTCCCCCTCCCTCTGCCCCTCCCCCTGCTTGTGCATGTGTGCTCTGTCTTCAAAATCTTAACAAGCAAAAACATCCTGTGCCAACATCAGTGGAAACGAGTAAATACCTATCTAGCCCTTACTAAGGCCAGCGACTGTCCTTTGAGCATTATGTATATTAACACATTGAATACTTAACGAGGGAGGTATTTCACGGGTGAGGAAACGGGCAGTAACTTGGCTCTGTCAAACAGCTAGGTTCAGGGACTGAAGTTCTGATTCCTGGGTCACCTGGGTCTTCTGCACAGCCCTGACTTCAAGCTTCCTGTTTACCTGACCAGTCCACTGCTTTGTCAGGTTGTGGAACATTTTTGTTTCAATAAACAAGGTCACTATACTCGAGGACTACAGCTTGGCTATAGCTTTTCTTCACAAAATTGTGAAGGAGAATGCCCACCATGCCCTTCATTGGGAATCCTTTCTCTCTTTCCCTTGTGTCTGCCGAGGGTTCTTAAACTGGCCTTGATGCCCAGTCAGTGGAGGTGGAGTGGGGTGAGTGCTCCCATGGGAGTCCTCCCCAGCCTGTGGTTGTCCCCATCTGGACCTTGGCATCTAAGAAGGCATTCGTAATCTGAGAAGGTTCTTGGTGCCCGCACATCATACCACACAGGAGGGAGGCTCTTGGCTCCTACAATAAAGAACCTGGCTTTTCGGTGTATAGCAGAGTCACTAATACTTCTTGAGTGAAGAAATGCATGAACTGCCCTTGTGCTGAACTTACCTCCCAGGAATCAACAGATGACTCTAGTTTGTTTCCTGAAACAAAACATCATTATTCCTGTTGGTATGGATGGTGAGCCAAGGCATAGTAATTTTTATAACATGAGAGAATTCTTTTCATTGCCAAGGAGTTACTCTGATTGAAACCCTATTTGGAGGACTTTGAGCAGAGACACACCTTCGCTCTGGCTGAAGGGTTGAGCAGGGAGATCAGAAATTCAGAACTAAGCTTGGATGGGCACATGTGACCTTGGGGACAGCCCTGGGTCCCATCCCTCCCCCCATCTTCGGACCAGGTCTGGATTATTCTGAAGTTCATGCCCAGGGCCTTTTCAGGTGTGTTACTGAGGCTCAGATCTTTCATGATCTCATGATACCACTGGGGGCTCTGAGCTGGGCGCCAGTGCTTTCCGGGTGAGGGCAGCAATATGGAGACAAAACGAATCCATAACATACAAGAGAATTTTCCTAAAATAGAGGAATGCTTTAAGTTGAAGTAGCCCTTTTTTCTTTAATATTTTAGAGAGGGACAAGCAAACTCCTGCACTGAGCTGGGAACAGGAGCCCAAGTAACCCTCTTGAAGTGCTTGCTTCCCCTACCTCCCCCATTTTTAACTCAATCTTCAGCTCAACCTGGAACTCAGGACCTGTAGATCAAGTGCTGCCTTCTCTAGTGAGCCAGCCAGGTGCCCCTCCCTCACTTCCCTTTTTAAAAATCAACATTGGGTGGCTCAGGTGGTTAAGAAACTGCGTTTGGCTCAGGTCATGATCCCAGGACCCTGAGATTGAGCCCCACATCCGGGCTCCCTGTTTGGTGGGGATCCTGCTTCTCCCTCCCTCCACTGTTGACCCTGCTTGTGCGCTCTCGCTCTGACAAAATCTCTAAAAAAAAAATTGAACTAAAAATCACAGTATTACTCGGTAAGGTAAAACTCAAGACTATTGGGACTATACCTGTAGTCCCACGAAGTTAAATTTATGAACTTGCTGCAGCAGGGGTGACTGCAGCTAAGAAATGGGGGGGCAACGTGGAAGGGCAGTAGGGAGGGGCGGGGCCCCTTACAAGGTCTAAGCTGGCTTGGGAGAGACCAGCAGAAAAGGAACCAGCCCCGGATTAGGTACCATCATGAGGTAGGGAAGTTTAGGAACTGGGCATCTCAATGATCTTTGGGAGGTTGGAGGGAGCAAAGAAGTGGGACTGGGAAGACAATTTTTAAAACTTACTGAAAAAAAGGGATTGTTAGTCTTTTTGCAGCCATCGCGTGGCCTTGGGAGAAACACGGTTTTCTGTTGGCTTTGTCACTGTCCTTATTTGTGTCTGTTAGGTACATCCTGGTCTGATCGCCACTGGGGAGGATTTTCACTCTTAGGTGGACTTAAAGAAAAGCAAATCAAGGGCTTATGAAGAAAAACTGCCTATGGAAAATCAGAATTTAATAGGCAGCATGTCAGAGGACAGTGGACATTAATAGGGAAATAGGATTATATACATTTTAATTTTCAGTTTTACAAATGACTGTAAGCTGGGATATTTCAGACACCTTATGTTACTATCTGTTCAGTATTGTGTGAAAGAACAGTGTTTTCCATAGACCCTTACTGTTACTTACAGATCGAGAAAGCAGGATCACTAAGAGGTAAATTAGCTTGCTCAAAGGCACATAGCCAGGAATGGGAGACACCGGGAGGTGAGGGAGACAAGCTGACTCCAGAACCTGTTTGGTACCATGCTAGTCTCCTGGGTTTAGAGAAGACACCCTGATTGGAGGAATAAGAGAACATTAAGTGTTTAATATGTACCAGGCACTAACCTCAGTGATTGCATGTCCTATAATCCTCACAGCAACCCTGTGAGGGAGGGTCGCCCATCATCCCATTGGAGATGAGGAAACGGGCTCAGAGAGAATAGGTCTGTATCCCCGGTTCCCTCTGCTGACCGGGTCAGTTGGTAGAGTCAGTAAATGGGAAAGTCCACCCCAGGTCCTCAATTCCCGCCCTCCACTGTATCAGCCTCTGCTAGCAGGTATTCCTCTGGGTTAGCACTCTTGAAATGAGGACTTTATATTATAAAGTTCCCTAGATGTGCCGCCCAGTGTGTGTGTCGGGGGGCGGGGGGAGCAGTGAGGGTGGGCCCAGCTCGCGGGGCCCCGCCCCTGCCCCGCCCCCGCAGGCGGGGCTGTCTCATCCGCCAATCAGGACGCTGGGCGCCGGGGTCGAGGGGCGGGCCGCGGGCGCTGCGGCTCCAGCCCGCAGTCCGAGCGGCTAGAGCGCTCGGAGACCCTACGCGAAGCCAAGAGGAGCGAGCCGGCGCCCCAGTCTCCTTCCCCTCCCCTCGCCTCGCCGCCTTCTCCCGCAGCCGGACCGGAACTATGTGATCCCGGAAGTTCCGGTGCTATTGCTGTGTGGGATAAACAGTAATGGCGGAGGCTGCAGCTCCCGGAACAACAGCCACAACATCAGGAGCAGGAGCGGCAGCGGCGGCGGTGGCAGCGGCCTCCCCCACCCCTATCCCCACAGTCACCTCCCCGTCCTCGGGGGCGGGGGGAGGGGGAGGCGGCAGCGACGGCAGCGGCGGCGGCTGGACTAAACAGGTCACCTGCAGGTGAGACGCTGCTGCGCAGCCGGGCGCCGGCGCGGGGAGGGGGCCGAGGCCGCGGAGAGGGCGCAGAGGAAGGGGCGGGCGGGCTGCCGGGGGCGGGCGGAGGAGGGAGGAGAGCGGCGTTTGGCCGCCGCGGCTTCCCCGCCCGCGCTGCGTCAACCCCCGCCGGCCGCCGCGGTGCCGGGCGCGCGCGGCTCTGCTGCGGGGCCGCCGCACCGCCCGCCGCCCTCCCCGCGCTGGCGGAGCGGCGCGCCGCGTAGAGAGAAAGGTGGGCAGACTCGTCCTCCTTTTTGTCGCGGGATCTGCAGCCCCTGCGTGCAGCTCCGCAGGTTCGAAAGGAAGGAAGGGTGCGTGTTGTAGCCTGCAGCCGGCCTCCCTGCAGGCCTGCGGGGCTGGGGAGCGCGGCCGCGGGCCCGGACGAGGCGGCCTGGCCGCCTGGCCTCGGCACCGTGTCATCCGTTGGTAACGTCTGCTCGCGTCTCCCCGCCCCCGCCCCACCCGAGAAGTAGCTTTTGTTATTTCTTCTTTGTATGTTTATCGAGGTTGGCGGTTCTGAGCTTTGTCTTAGAACCGAGTGCCGGCTGAGGTCGTCTCCTCCGCCTTAAATTACACACGAGCTGTCCATTCCCCTCCCGCGGTGAAAATGTTCTCTTGAAATAACACGCATTTTACTTCTGAAGGAGAGCGGCTTTGTTTGGGTTTGGTATGTCCGATAGATGCAAGTATTTGAAAAATTAGTGGATGGCGGTAATAGGTACGTGTGTACGCGTGTAAAAATTGATCGAGCTGTACATACAGGATGAGTGCATTTAATTGAACGTTACCTTGGATTCTTTTAGAAGTGATCATTAGCGACTGGAAGCGTTTTTCTAGCAGTTGAAAAAATGCAACTGGAATGCCGGTTTTCACCCGGGGGTGGGATAATAATTTCCATGCAATACGTAAGGATTCTTAGTATACAGAACTCACTGTCCTGGTGTTAACAGTGATACTAAATGGCGTTCTCTGTTTTTATATACATGTAAGGCATGAATAATAAACTTGAGCTTATTTTCAGTAGCGGGATGAAGAAGCATAAAAGCTCTTTTAGGTCGCTTCTCTTTACCAGTCGTTGTAGATCGTAAGAATGGAATCAAGTGCAGTATCTTGAATGAGAATTTCAAAATTCTTGTTCATGAAACAGTTATGAAGTCCCTATTTACAATTTCTTTTTTCTACAGTGCTGCAGTTGATTTATATGTGCTAGTTGGATCTTTAAAAAAAGAACTAGTGTAACCTTTATATACCTGAGTTTTTAGCCCTTCACTCGGCAGTGCCAATCTACTTCTATATACTGAAAATAATGTTGCTTGAATATGAGTTCTTAACAGGAACTCCATACAAAGCCTTGATTTTAACCTATCATTTCCAATCTCAATATAGTCTAGCTTTTAACACCCATCACCAACCTGGTATTACCATAGTTATCTCATTTTTTATCTTGGCAGCTGTAACTTGAACCCAACTTTACAGCAGTGCCCAGAATTCATTGTCACTTTTACACTTTCTTCTCTGTTGGACACTTGGCTCTGTTCTTACTTCCCTTTTCTAGTTCCTCAGCAGTATATAACCAGAATTCAGAATAGCTTACTAAATAGGCCAGATAAAAGGCCAGAAAAATAAGCTGAAAACCCAGACTAAGCATTCCTCTTTGCTTGACTTCAGGATCTTTGAGTTAAATGCAATATTGTAGATTGTTCCTGGACTGGTGGGAATTCATTGCCCATGAACCAATAGATTTTATATATGTATTTTAAAAAATTTACATAGCTCAGTAATCTAATATTTTGGAAAGGCATTATGTAAAAGATAACATGCTTAGATGTACTAGTTTTTTCTTAAGTTTTAATTTTTAAAAAGTACGGGCTAGTATTTAATTTTTAAAAAGTACGGGCTAGTATATCTTTGATTTTAATATTTGACATTTTTCAGTTCTAGGTATGAACATCTATTTTAAAATTCTCTTTGGATAGTGAATATGAGATCTTCATTTATTGTGGACCTTGAGCTTTCTTGAGCAGGGGCCCTATTTTGTTTATCCTTATGTGTACTTAAGTATCTTTTGGGGACTACCTCATTCAGTTATTCATTAAATAAGTATTAGTGCCTACAACAAGAGACGATGCCCTAGATGTTAAAGGGAATGCAAAAATGTATTTTCATTGTGTTGCTAAATCTCCCTAGAGGAGAATTAAGCTAAGTGATACACTTCAGTGTTTCTGCTTATTTCTTTCCATCTAGCAGTTAAGGCTATTTACTTAGGGGGCGCCTGGGTGGCTCAGTCCTTAAGCGTCTGCCTTCGGCTCAGGTCATGATCCCAGGGTCCTGGGATCGAGCCCCACATCAGGCTCTCTGCTCTGCGGGAAGCCTGCATCTCTCTCTCCCACTCCCCCTGCTTGTGTTCCTGCTCTAGGTCTCTCTCTGTCAAATACAATCTTTAAAAAAAAGGCTATTTACTTAGGTCATAATCCTCCAAGTAGTAATTTGGAGGACAGATTTTTTAAATCGCTCAATTTTCGTACTGGTTACTATTTATATTTCTCAAAATTCTACCTCATTGTGTTTGATGTCTGCAGCTTAAGAAAAACTTATACCTTCCCAGGGAACTGTATAATGCTGCCCCCACCAGGCCATTTTTCATATTTTTTTATTGGAGGAATATTATGAAATATGCTATTGCTTTTAGCTTCTTCGAGAGTATAGGGTTAAAATACTTAAAAGTCATAACTTGCAAGCTATAATTTTGGATTTAGACACTGCTTTATGAGAGTTCTACAGTGGTAGATGACTGTTCTGGCATTTGAAATAATATCCCAAAACCAAGTGTGTTCATTTTGATTTTTAAAAATAAAGGAAATTATTCCAGAAATTCTCTATCCATAGTGAAGTTTATTACTTGGAAACTATCTAGCATATAGGCTTTTTTGAAGGGGTGGCATTGAAAAAGTTACCAGCCCATTCATTAAGAATTAATTTGCTACTGACATTTGCCATGTCACTTAACAGTTTTTATTAAATAGGTAACTATTATTTGTATAAGTATTGTAAGAGATAAAAAGCAGAGTAAACCATGGTCCTCAGCCACCAGGAATTTGCAGTCTAGTCTGAAAAATAGTACATGCACTCCTCAGATTAAGTATCAGTTAAAAAATGCTATAGCTGATGAAGTGGTAAATGCTGAATTAGGTAGCATTCTGTAATTTCTTCTGTCAACCCACAGGCAGGTTGTTATGATGCCTAGAGGTACTTTGAGGGTATTGTTCGGGTCTGTTGTACCCCAGAAGCTACTGTTAGGGTGTTTTGTAATGTATTTTGGCAAACGTTCTTAGGTTTCCAAGAGGTACAGCAGTAGGGAGATTGCTAGGCGATTATATTTGTCTTAACTGGACACTGTCTGGAGTGACAATTGCAGTGAGAGCACGAGCCAGAGGAAGGGTCAGAGGTCATGAGGGTCAGAGGTCATCTCGGTGGAGGGATGGACCCCATACCCATCCAAGCTCAGTGGGGAGTCTGCCTTGAGATTCTCTCCCTCTCCCTCTGCGCTCCCCCCATCCTTCTCTCTAAAATAAAAACATTTTAAAAAGTCCTATGGCCCAGCCTTTTCTCCAAAGGAAGCTTTAGTCTGGGCAATGGCATCAAGATTTGGATGGTGGCTTGGTGGTGGCATTTAAAAAATAAAACTTCGAGGGGCGCCTGGGTGGCTCAGTCAGGTCATGGCCCCAGGGTCCTGGGATTGAGCCCCTCATTGGGCTCCCCGCTCTGCGGGAAACCTGCTTATCCCTCTCCCACTCCCCCTGCTTGTGTTTCCTCTCTTCGCTGTGTGTGTCTCTCTGTCAAGTAAATAAATAAAATCTTTAAAAAATAAAAAACGGGCGCCTGGGTGGCTCAGTCGTTAAGCGCCTGCCTTCTGCTCAGGTCATGATCCCGGGGTCCTGGGATCGAGCCCCGCATCGGGCTCCCTGCGCGGCGGGAGGCCTGCTTCTCCCTCTCCCACTCCCCCTGCTTGTGTTCCCTCTCTCACTGTGTCTCTCTCTGTCAAATAAATAAATAAATAAATAAATAAAATCTTTAAAAAAAAATAAAAAAAATAAAAAACAAAAAAACAAAACTTTGGTTTCATTTTGGGGAGAAATTTCTTGGGAGAGGTTTGCCTTTTTTTCTACTTTCTGATACGCGTAACACTTTTCACAATCATAATCTCTTAGAGATGGGTTGGTGAGGAGGGATTTCACTGTGAGAATTGTATTTAATTCTGGAAATACCAATAGTGTTCATATCACTGAGGGACAAAAGGCCAGAAAAATAAGCTGAAAACCCAGACCATACATACCAAACAACCATTTATGTTTAGTATTTGGCAGTAACTAATTAGGGCTTGTGTTCTAGCATTTTTGTTGATTCTGAAGTATCGGGTGATTTTGTGTCTGCTTGAATTCCTTCTGTGTTGGTAGTTCTGGACATCAGGAACATAATGTCATTGTTGGGTAATTCTTCTCCGGCTTCATGTTGAACCAGCTAGATACATGATGTATCTTTCTGCATATGAAAAGTTTCTTTGTATTTTGGCTATATTACTACAGTTACCTAAAATCTTGTAGCATGACATACAGGTGTCTTGCCTTAATCGTTTGCCTTACTCTTACTTTTATTTTTATTTTTTTTTTTTTAAGATTTTATTTGACAGACCCAGCGAGACAGGGAACACAAGCAGGTGGAGTGGGAGAGGAAGAAGCAGGCTTCCTGCCGAGCAGGGAGCCTGATGCAGGGCTCGATCCCAGGACCCTGGGATCATGACCTGAGCTGAAGGCAGACGCTTAACGACTGCGTCACGCAGGCACCCCCTGCCTTACTCTTAAACTTGATTTGTTCTGTGTACCTCCTCTGCCAGGCTGGTCATAAACCAATATAGTGAAGAAATGTAGTCTGGCAGGGCAGAGTAAAGATGTGGAAGGACAGATCTGAATGAACATGCGTAGCACAGACTATGCAGATACTGACTTAAATTCTTATATCTAAAAGATTGCTGAAACCTGCTGAAAGTCACATAGCTTCTCATTGACAAAGCTGGAATTTAAGTCTCCCCAGTTTTTTGTTGAAGATTTTGTCAGAATGCACAAGCAGGGGGAGCAGGAGAAGGAGGCTCCCCACTGAGCAGGGAGCCCTGTGTGGGACTCAATCCCAGGACGCCGGGATCATGACCTGAGCCGAAGGCAGATGCTTAGTGACTGAGCCACCAAGGCGCCCCTCCATATCTGTATCTGACTTAAAATGATCCCAAAGAAGCACTGAAGGTATAGACACCTTCTTGTGTTTAAACAGGAACAGTTCTCACTGGGCATGAGACTGTAAACTATGGGTTTGAGCACTGCTACTGTTTCAAGAGGATAACCTATTGCCAACTGGATACTTTTTTTTTCTTTAAAGATTATCCTTATTTACTTGAGTGTGAGAAAGCACAGGGTGAGGGGCAGAGGGAGAAGCAGACTCCCCATTGTGCAGGGAGCTGGAAAGGGGGCTCAATCCTGGGTCTCAGGGATCATGTCCTGAGCCGAAGGCAGACACCTTAACCGAGTCACCCAGGTACCCCTGGATACTTTTCTATGTACTTTGAAGCAATATTTTACTGCTGTGGTGATTACAATGCAATTTTTTTAAAGATTTTATTTGACGGGAGAGACAGCGAGAGAGGGAACCACAAGCACGGGGAGTGAGAGAGGGAGAAGGAGCCTTCCCGCCGAGCAGGGAGCCTGATGCGGGGCTCATTCCCAGGACCCTGGGATCGTGACCTGAGCCGAAAGCGGATGCTTAACGACTGAGCCACCCAGGCTCCCCTACAATGTAATTCTCATTGGCTTGTATAGTTAGGGGGTGTCTGATGTTTTCATTTATGCAGTCAAATGAGGTTTTTTTTTTTAAGACCTAGAAAGAGCACAAGCAGGGGGAGGAGCAGAGGGAGAGGGACAAGTAGACTCCCCATTGAGTGGGGAGCCCATTGCAGGGCTTGATCCCAGGATCAGACCTGAGCAAGTGAGACGCTTAAGCGACGAGCCACCCAGGCTCCCCCAAAATTACCTATTGAAAAACAGGTGGTTTAACTCAAAGTTGCCTGAGTTACATTATGGTAAACTTAAAATAACTGTTGAAATTAGGTCAACTATAGTTAAATTATCACTTCCTAGTATATTCTTAGATTTTGTTAACAGACTACAACTCCAGGGCACTTTAGGATATTGGTCATTTTAATTATTTCCACCAACATGTTAGTCTTTTAAAGTGATGTACTGTCATGCAGAAGTTTTCCCTTACAGGTACTCTTTGAATAGAACCTTTCACATTTCAGTTTTGGGCAGCTGCCTTCCAGTTTCCTTAGGTAAATACGGATATTTTGTACATACTCAGAGATAAGTGGGCAAGTGGAGTATACACTCATTCTAGATAACTGTGACACTCTTGGATATAGTGATGTTGTCAGCCACACTAAGGAAATACGTACTTTTTCCTTCTGTGCCTGTTTGGGGAGTTGTGGCCTGCCAAAAATAAACCTTCATTGCTCTCTCTGCTCAAGAGACCGATACCAATAAAGGAGCAAAGAAAAAAAAAATACTTGGGGTGCCCTGCCTGGCTGGCTCAGTCACTACTAGAGCATGTGGTTCTTGATCTCTGGTTGTGGGTTCAAGCCCCACGTTGGACGTAGAATTTACTTTAAAAAAAAAAATGGGGCAGGGGGGGAGAAAAGAACCCTGACAGAAGTCAGTGATGGGAAGATGGAGGATGGTGGTGGTGGTTCTGCTTTACGTGATCAAAAAATGACTATCACTTCTAACCTAGAGAACTGTAGATGCTGCTTGCTCTACTCATCCCCCTCCATCCCCACTTTCTGATTTTAGTAGGTATGAGGTATTTATTTCTAGCAAATTCCCAGATGATGCTGATGGTGCTATTCCAGGTCCTACTAAGGCATACTCTGATACTTGGTGTTAAGGAAACTGCAGAAACTGCTAGTTAGGTACACATGTAATACTTTAAGGCTGAGGAGCAATAATCTGCTAACCAAAGAACATAAGGTGATTTCTCTTGGCCTCTGTGTGTGCAGCAAATTTGGTTATATTTTCACATGTGGATTTTACATGAAGTTACAAGCAGATTCCATGCCCAGTTTGGAGTCCAGCGTGGGGCTTGCACTCAGAACCCTGAGATGGAGACCTAAGCTGAGATCGAGTTGCTTAAGCAGCTGAGCCATTCAGGTACCCTTCACGTGGCTTTTCAAGCATTAAAATGGTTTCTTTTTTAAGATTTTATTTAGGGGTACCTGAGTGGCTCAGACAGTTAAGCGTCTGCCTTTGGTTCAGGTCAGGGAGGCTGCTTCTCCCTCTCCTACTCTCCCCACTTGTTCCCTCTGTGTCTCTGTCAAGTAATCTTTAAAAAAATTTTTTATTGGGGATCCTGGGTGGCTCAGTTGTTAAGCATCCCCCTTCGGCTCAGGTCATGATCCCAGGGTCCTGGGATCGAGCCCCGCATTGGGCTCCCTGCTCTGTCGGGAAGCCTGCTTCTCGACATGTCCCACTCCCCCTGCTTGTGTTCCCCCTCTCTGTGTCTGTCAGATGAATAAATAAAATCTTTTTAAAACCTTTGAGGGAGCACTATATAGAGAGCACAAGAGAGCGCAAGCAAGAATCGGGGGCAGAGGCAGAGGGAGAAGCAGGCTCCCTGCAAAACAGGGAGCACAACGCGGGGTCCAATCCCAGGACCCTGAGATCATGATGACATGAGCCGATAAGGCAGACCCTTAACTGACTGAGCCACCCAGGCACCCCTAAAATGGTTTCATGAAGTAGTGAAACATAGAGTAGTCTGACCCATTCTGGTCTACATTGTTTCTTGCTTTATCTTTTTTACAGGTAGAGCTGCCATTATAGCTAAAGTTACTACCTCCCTAGGACTGTGAAATGAGAACTGTGGTCAAACTGCAGAGACCAGATTAATGAGCACCTCAGAGTTGAAATTTAAATTGGTGCACATATGTATAGGTAGTCTTCGTGTGGTACCATAACGGATAATCTCCTCATACGGTCTTATTTCTGCTTGCTGTTGTGTTCATTTCACATGTTTGTGTAGAATAGGATATATTGGGTATATTACCATACAGCACTAGGATATCACTACTATATGGAACTCTCTAGTGTGTTACTGGTGGTGTCCATTGGTCATGAATTCTCTTAGGACTACCTTGAACTTTGTGGTTCGTTCTTCTCACAGGTATTTCATGCACGGCGTTTGTAAGGAAGGAGATAACTGCCGCTACTCCCATGACCTCTCTGACAGTCCTTACGGTGTAGTGTGCAAGTATTTTCAGCGAGGATACTGCATTTACGGAGACCGCTGCAGGTAAGACTTGTTTCAGAACACACAGATCAGTTTTGCTGAGAGGTTGAGAAAAAGTGAGTAAAATACATAATGCCAATAGCTTTATAAATAGATAAATGCTTTGAAAAGTATTCCTTAGTGTTAGTACACTTTAAATCTCTTAACTTGGAGGGCATGTATTAATACATTTTTTTCAAAAAAAATGAGTTTGTAATGTAGTAATTCCTGAGGAGCTCCTTCTGCAAACCTAGGGATAAGGTGTGGAGAAAGTATTTGTATATCGTATTTCCTTTTTAAGACTATAAGTGATGTGCATATCTCTTAATAATGAATTAGGAGAGAAAATGGCATCGTAGGCATTTGGAATAGTGTTACTACTTAACGAGAGCTTATCATTGCTTATCATTCAGTGTCAACTTTCCTGAAACCCTTCAGCTTGCAAAACTAATCTAAGCTTAGATTTAGAGGGAATACTCAGGAATGTGTCTAGTAACCATCAGAATGTTAAGAACCAAGAGGGATTCATTCTTTAATCTCTTATCATTATTAATTGAATTGGTACCATAATCCTGTTACATTGCGATTCAGCAGCAGTGGCTTGTGCTTAGAAATAGGTGGAGGTTGGGCGCCTGGGTGGCTCAGGTCATGATCCTGGAGTCCTGGGATCGAGTCCCGCATTGGGCTCCCTGCTCAGCAGGAAGTCTGCTTCTCCCTCTGACCCTCCCAACCCTCCCCCCTCTCATGTGCTCTCTCTGTCTCGCTCTCTCAAATAAATAAAATCTAAAAAAAAAGAAATAGGTGGAGGTTTTATTAATCTTCCCAAGTTAGAAAAGATGTTTTAGTTACCTGTTGATTGGAGTGGCCTGGGTGGCTCAGTCGGGTAAGTAGCTGCCTTGATTAGGTCATGATCCCAGGGTCCTGGGATCGAGCCCCTCATTGGGCTCTCTGCTCAGCGGGGAGCCTGCTGCTTCCTCCTCTGTCTGTCCTTCCCCCTGCTTGTTCTCTTTCTGTCAAATAAATAAAACCAATAAAAAATAGTTACCTGTTGATGTTGAACAAATTACCCTGAGATTTAGCAGCTTAGAAATGATAAACATCTCCCAGTTTCTGGGGGTCTCACTTGGGTGGTCTAGCTGTGAGATTGTAGAGACTGCCGTCAGGAATTTGGGCAGGGCCGCCATTATCTGACCTCTGCCCGGGGGCTTGGAGGATCACTTCTAAGATGCCGAGAGACCTTAGTTTTTTACCAGCTGGACCTCTCCTTAGGGCTGCTTTAGTGTCCTACTTGGTTGCTATCTTTCCCCAGAGCAAGTGATTCAAGAGAGCCAGCAAGGACACATCCACAATGCCTTTTATGTCCTAGTCTCAGAAGTCCTGCACTCACTTCCGCTATACTCTGCATTACAAGCAAGTCACTAAATCCAGCCCATGTTGAAGTGTTCAAGGGGAGAGAGATTGGGCCCACCTTTTGAAGGGTGGCGTGTCAAAGAATTCTTCTGGACATACTTTAACCATAAACCATCATATTAGGTAAGACATTTGGGGAATGTCAGCCCGTTTTAGCATTCTACTACGATCATATGCTTAGAATTCAAAAGGCTAGGAAATTATTGATGGGTGGGATATTAATGTGCAGTTATCCCACATTTTACTAGGAAATCTAGTAAGGATAGAGAAAAATAGATTTTTTTTCATGTGACTGTAAGAGCTCAGAAATGGAAACTCTGATACCTGAGTCCTTTTGCTCTCTGCTAATTTTTTTTCATTGCAGTATTACTGGAAAGGGGAAAAATGGACCCCCCCCCAAACCCAAACCGCCAGGCTTATTGTCACAGTATGAAAGGGGGGGGGTTGGTAGAACTCCATCCTACTAATATATAAAGGAGTGATTCTTTGTAGTAGGATGGTCTCTGCAGGTTTTCTAGGCCAGCTTAATTGTAGGGGAGCCTGATTGCCTAAACAATCAGCCGAGAGTCTTGTACACTCCGTCCTGGGAGAGAAGAAACAAATGTCAGGAGTGGGAGGGGAAACTAGGGTGTCCAGCAGAGAGAAGTGGAGAGTATGCCGTGTGATAGGAGGAGGGAAAGTACAGCTGGTAAACAGATCAGCTGTTGCTTCAGAAGAGGGACTCATCAGATTGGACCATATAGGTGGGGAGAGTGAAAAAAAGGTTAAATTGAAGAAATCGAAGCTAAGGCTGAGGCTGTATGTGTTAATCAGCTTATTTTTCAGGTAACTTCCCCAGCCCTAAATGGCATTTAGGCATTTCATATTCTCCTTGGGAATAAGTATGGAAGCCCATCCTCAATCTAACCCTGTAATCAGTCGACTTCCTTGTGGGAGACTGAGGGATGGAGGTCGAGGCCAGGGAGTGAGGTGGGTGCACTGTTTTGGCGACGCCCTGACCTGGAGGCAGTTTCAAGTCACCTGATGACTGGCTTTTTTCTTTAAAGATGCAGCTCCCTCTTTGGCCAGTGATCTGATTTGAGCTAGGTTTAGAGCTCTCAGGGTGAAGTGAAAGGAATTAGGGAAACCTATTACTAGTTGGCCTGAAAGAAGCTTCTGTGGCAATTGGGACAGACTGGCTGGAAGATTTACACCTACTTTTCACTCTTTCTGCATAGGGATCTTTTTACACAAATTGGCCAGTGCCCAGGGATTTCAAATATTGAATGCCTCATAGAGGTAATAGTTTATGATGAAAGACAATGTCCTAATGCCAGCAGTTCACAAATGTTACTGTGTCCCTGCGTCATGAAGGTGGCACTGTTAACTTAAGCCAGTTCTTGATTACTCAGAAGTGTTGTACACATTGCACGACCTCTCAACATCCTTTGCCCCCACTTAATGCCATAAGAACTCCCTCATTGTTGATGAACACCCAGTGGAGAAAGAGGGAGTATTGCCTTGGTTGAAAACCAAATATTGTTTCTTAACACTTTGCTATGGTAGATTTTGTTTCCTTTGGAGGGCTCTTTCCCTCTGGACCCACTGAGTACCGCAAATTAACGTGTTTAAGATTTATTTATTTGAAAGAGAGCACGCAAGCGGGGAGAGGGGCAGAGGGAGGAGAGACACAGACATGATTCCCAGGAGATCCTAGGAACCCTGAGACCATGACCTGAGCTGAAACCAAGAGTCAGACGCTAAACCTACTGAGCTACCCCCGTGCCCCCTAAGTTAAAATTTTAAAGACAGATACCAGACCTTGGAATGATTGGGGGTAGGAAGTAGCCAACCAGAGGGGAAAGCATCTATCTTAATCTTGCTTAAAGATGGAAGAAAAATTTCAGTTTCCTTACATAGAAATTAATACTATACCAGAGTATTTGCAAAGATGTGAAAGAAAAGCCCAATGATTGTTTCAGTGTTGTCTCAGTATTGTTTCTTAACACTTTGATTAAAAGGATCACGGATTCTGTGATAGGTCTTTAATCTTAAGGAATTAATTTAATAATCATTACAAACACAATCATGGACTCTGAATCCAGTAGGTGTTAGTCCTCTTAAGTAGGAATTGGCAGGCTTCGTTTGTACAGGGCCAGATAATAAATGTATTTTGGCTTTGGAGGCCATACTGTTCTCAGGGCAATAGCAGCCGTAGATTATACATAAGCGAATGAATGTGGTGTGTTCCCACGAAACTTACTGAGACGCTGAAATTTGAGTACATTTTTCAACCATTTAAAAATATCAAAACCAAGAATACAAGTCCGTTGCTGTCTCCTGAATTATACAGTTAAAATTGCCCACATAAATGGCCTGTGGCCTGTAAAAGAAGTTATTTGTCAATGGGGAGCCTGGCTGGCTTGCTCAGTATCAAAACCATTTTTAGCTCTGGGCTCGGCCTGAGGGTCATAGGCTGGATTGATCCCTGTTCTTAAGGTCCATGCTTCAGTGAACCATATTTCTTAGTAAGCACCTTTTGGTTGTTTGTTTTTTTACTTTTATATTTGAGAGAGAGCACACACAAGTTGACAGAGTGGCAGGGAGAGGGAGAAGGCTCCCTGCTGAGTGGAGAGCCTGATGCAGGGCTCAGTCCCAGGAACCTGGGATCATGATGACTGAGCCACCCAGGTGCCCTTAGTAAGCACCTTTCAAAATGCGTCTTGCATCTTTCTTGCTTTATTAGGTTTTTTTTTTTTCTTATTTGGACTTTCTTTCCTAGTACCTATGGACAAATCTTCACTTCAGAATCATTTTTATAGATCTATTCTGCAGTAAAGGATTAATTTTGGCTAAATAGGCAGATTTGATTTTAAAAGTTAATACTCATTTTTTTTCTTAGGAAGCACAAACGAGGGAACAGGAGGCAGAGGGAGAAGCAGGCTCCCTGCTGAGCAAGGAGCAGAAGTCAGATGCAGGCAGATGCTTAACCGACTCAGCCACCCAAGCATCCCTAAAAGTTAATACTCAATAGATTATCATTTGTATTCAAGGACCCGGCTTTATTCACTAAATTTAACCCCTCAGTAGTTTTTTTTTTTCTTTTTTAAAGATTTATTTATTTTGAGAGCAAGCCTTGGGGGTCAGGGAGAGGGAGAGAAGAATCAGGCTCCACACCCAGCCTGGAGCCCAAGGTGGGGCTGTCTCACGACCCCCAAGATCATTACTTCATTTAACTGACTGAGACACCTAGGCGCCCCAGATGATACGGTCCTTAATGCATGGCATGTGTTTATTAGTAGATGTTGCTCAAAAAATTGAACTGTTTGGGTGCCCAGGTGGCTTAGTTGAGTCGGTTAAGTGTTTGTCTTTGGCTCAGGTCCAGCGGGGAGTCTTCTTCTCCCTCTCCTTTGTCCCTCCCCACTGCTCATGCTCTCTCTCCAGTAAAATCTATTAAAAAATGCTGTCTAATATGGTAACTATGAGCTACCTGTGCTACTTGAATACTTGAAAATATGGCTAGTGCTGGGACCAACAAACTGGTTGTACATTGAAGTATAAAGAGCTGTGTGGCCATTGGTTCCTGTCATACAGAGCAGCTTAGAGTCACATTAGAACACTACTTGACAATTTTTTGACAATGAAGTGAGGTGTGGTGCAGGTGCATACTCCCAGTGGTTTCTGCTCTCAGCTTGGAGGATTTAGGATTCCAGTCTGGAATAAAACACATCGGGTTTTATAGCTGACAGCAGGTACTTGGAAGGAAGGCAAGGGAAAGTAGGTTCCCTAAAGCTTAAGAGTGGGAATATGAAGGTTTGAGATGATAGAATACAATGGTAAATACAAGCAAATGTTCACAGTAAGCTAAGGGATGGTGTGTATGTAGTTAGCCTTTATGTTTATTTTAGATGGAAATACACACACCAGTAACACAGGTGGCCCATGGTTAGGATGGCCCAATTAGTTTGCAAGACCTGCTAGATAACGTGTACTGTGAGTTATGCCAATTCAGACTTACTACGTATCATTAATTTATTGTGTCTGAATGTCTCAATTGTGGGGATTTTGTTGGGCTGGAAGTTGGTTCTTGAAGGGAATAGTTGATGTGTTTTAATAATTTACAAATGAAAAGGAATGAAAAGGTATAGAGTAAAAATTTGAAAAGTTATCAGGTCAATGACTCAATGTAGGAAAAGAATACATGTTGTATATTTATTATTAAGTAAGTCTCCTGTTTAATATTGTGAACACTTTAACATACGTGGTAAAATATTCTATGTTTTCTACTTGAGTTTGAGGGTCCGCCTTGCTTTGATCAGTCTTCCGGTGCAGTCTCTTTAGCAGAGTTGCCATGGGAACCGTGAGACTCCAGATTCGAGTGGAGTTTGAGGGATGATAGATGGTCATCTGCAGGGGTGGGCAAACATGACCTCTAGGCCAAACCTGGTTGAAGGCTCTAAGTTTCCTGACCCCTGGTCTGTGACCTTGCTACTCAAAGAGTGCTTGGACCAGCAGTAATACCCTGTGCGGGCTTGATAGACATGCAGAATCATGGGCTCTGCCCCAGACTTAGATTCCAGATTTGCCTTTTAACAATTTCCTGGGTGATTCATAGGTAAGAGATTTTGAAAACAACCCAAGGACAGGATCAGGGAATTCATACCCTAATTGGGGCTGCTGGCTAGACAGTGACTGCTGACTTTGAATTTTTTTTTAGATATGAACATAGCAAGCCTTTGAAACAGGACGAAGTGACTGCTGCAGATCTAACTGCGAAATCATCCCTTGCTGCTTCCTCAAGTCTCTCATCAGGCATTGGACCAGTTGTTGAAATGAATACGGGCGAAGCCGAGTCAAGAAATTCAAACTTTGCAACTGTAGGAGCAGGTTCAGAAGACTGGGTGAATGCCATTGAGTTTGTTCCTGGGCAGCCCTACTGTGGCCGTAGTGAGTATTTTGAAGACTAAAAACAACTTAGGGTGCTAGGCCATAGCTCACCAGTTAGCAGGCTTTCGCAACCTTCCTGCTTCCACTCTTCACACTTAGCCTGAGTTAATACTCTAAATTGGATATAACCGATGGAGTGAAAGAAACTTTTTGAATCCCAGTGAATTTAGAATGTTTTGAAAAACCGAAGCATCTTTAATCAGTGCAATCGCACAAGAAGTACGTAGAAGTGGGGTTTTTTTTTTTTTTTTTTTAAACAAGCAGCATTAGAAAATTGATCTCTCGAGTGAAGGGATTAGTTAATAGATTTCGGAATTTAATTGAAGTTCTTCTCATGTGTTTTCTGTTCAGTTAGGTTCTCAGTTACCTTGGTTCATATTATCTGCTTTACCCATTTTGGACCTTTACTACCCTCTTAAATGTTTTCAGCTGCCCCTTCCTGCACTGAAGCATCCCCGCAGGGCTCAGTGACCAAGGAGGAATTGGAGAAAGAGCAAACGGCAGCAGAAACCAAGCAGCAGCTTTGTCCCTATGCTACGGTCGGAGAATGCCGGTACGGGGAGAACTGTGTGTATCTCCACGGCGACTCCTGCGACATGTGTGGGCTGCAGGTCCTCCATCCGACGGATGCTGCCCAGAGATCGCAGCATATAAAAGTAAGTCTTCAGGGAAGTAGTCCGTTAATGCATGCGAGATTTCTTCAAAGACGCACATCTCATTGGTATTTAATACATTAACATGCTTGTGCAGCCATTACCACAGTTCCCCTGAAAAACTTCATGCCCCTTAGCTCCATTACTGTTTGTTCTGCCCTTCCCTGCAGTTCCCTGGCAACAACTAATCTACTAATGGCTGGACTGGCCTGTTGTGGAGATCACATATGAATGGAATCCTATGTAGCCTTTGTGACTGTCTTAAACATTAGCATAATGTTTTCAAGGTTTATTTGTGTTGTGGTGTGTATCAGCACTTCATTCCTTTTTCTGGCTGAATAATAATGCACTGTATAGCTATACCACATTTTGTTTTTCCGTTTCGTCAGTTGAAGGACTTTAGGATTGTTTCACCCACTCGCTATTGGGAATAATGCCATGAGCATTCATATGTAAGTTTTTGTGGGCATGTTTTAAGTTACCTTAGAGAGTAGAGTTGCTGGGTCATCTGGTAACTTGATGCTTAACACTTTGAGCAATGCCAGACTTTTTGCACAGTGAGTACACCATTTTACATTCCCAATCACGGTGGATGAGGATTTCAGACTACGGTTCTCGCAAGTGAGAATAGGAGCAGGAGAGAGAGGGCAGGCTCCCTGCTGAGCAACAAGGACCTGTATCATGACCTGAGCCGAAGACAGACCACTAACCCATTGAGCCACTCAGGCACCCCCCAGACTATGGTTTTTAAGCCCAATTGCAATGTAAGTTTTTTGTTGAAGACATTGTTTTACAAACTTTATATTTATTGGAGCAACAAATTCTGCTTCTAACCATTATCATATTTAAAAAAATTAATTGGTTGTTGGGTAAAGCCATAGTATAAGAGACATGATTGAATCCTACCTTCACGACATGCTGGCTGTGTGAATTGGGGCAAGTTAGGGTGCCTGGGTGGCTCAGTCGTTAAGCGTCTGCCTTCGGCTCAGGTCATGATCCCAGGGTCCTGGGATCGAGCCCCACATCGGGCTTCCTGCTCGGCGGGAAGCCTGCTTCTCCCTCTCCCACTCCCCGTGCTTGTGTTCCTTCTCTCGCTGTATCTCTCTCTGTCAAATAAATAAATAAAATCTTAAAAAAAAAAAAAAAAAAAAAAAAAAAAGAATTGGGGCAAGTTAAATCCTTGTCTTTCAGCTATATATTGGGTATTGGCAGCAGTGCTATTTGTTTCCTTCCCCCCCACCCCCCTTTTAGTAGTGTCTTTTAGGATTGTTTAAAAAGAACTTTCAGAAAATAAAAAATGTTATTAAAATACTATAGTTATGTGTAATTATGGGTGACTTTGCTTTTTTTCTATTCCTTAAAATTAATGTGTTCTAAATCTAAAAAGTATGTGTGTATATATATAATGTCCGTCAGCCTCACTTTTACGTAGACTTGATGCCCAGTGTCGGGCTTGAACCCACAATTACGAGATCAAGAGCTGCACACTTCACTGACTGAGCCAGTACGCCCCTCTTTTTACAGATTTGAGAGGGGGGGGGGGGAGAAAGGATCTTTTTTTTTTTTTTAAAGATTTTATTTATTTATTTGAGACAGAGAGAATGAGAGAGACATAGAGCACATGAGAGGGGGGAGGGTCAGAGGGAGAAGCAGACTTCCTGCCGAGCAGGGAGCCCGATGCGGGACTCGATCCCGGGACTCCAGGATCATGACCTGAGCCGAAGGCAGTCGCTTAACCAACTGAGCCACCCAGGCGCCCGGGAGAAAGGATCTTAAGCAGACTCCCTGCTAAGTGCAGTGTCAGACATGGTAACTCAATTTCAGAACCCTGAGACCAGAACCTCAGCCAAAACCCACCAAGCCACACAAGTGCCCACCTCTTTTTAAAAAGTTTAAGTAATCTCTATACCCAACATTGGGTTTAGACCCACAACCCCGAGATCAAGGGTTACATGATCTTCTGTGTGGGCAAGGTGCCCCCATAATTGTTAATAGCCCCAAAGTGGAAACAACCAAAATGTCCATCACCTGATGAATGGATAAATAGCGGTCTGTCCCTGTGATGGAATATTACTCAGCAATAAAAAGAAATAAAATACTGATACCTTCAGTATAGATAACTTTGGAAATGTGCTAAGTGAACAAAACCTGTCACAAAAGGACACACTTAATATGAAATGCCCTGAATAAGAACAGCCACAGATTAGTAGTTGACAGTGAAGTGGGGGAAGGGTCGGGTCGGTTTCCGGGGAAGTGATTTCCTTGCTGTGAGTATGGGGTGGTTCTTGGGGTAGTGAACACATTCCAGTACTGACTGGTTTGATGGTTGCATGACTTTGCATCTACAAAGACCATTTAATTGTATCCTTTAAATGAATGAATCCTATGGTATGTGAAGTATCTATCTCAAAGCTGTTTTTTAATTTTTATTTTACTTTATTTTTTTTGTTTTATTTATTCATGAGAGTCAGAGACAGAGAGAGAGAGGCAGAGGCAGAGGGAGAAGCAGGCTCCCCGCCTAGCAGGGAACCTGATGTGAGACTCGATCCCAGGACCCTGGGATCATGACCGGAGCTGCTTAACCATCTGAGCCACCTAGGCGCCCTCAAAGCTGTTTTTTTTAATGTGAAAATTAGGTGCTTAAGCACCTAATTGTCGCCTAATAAATGTTAGCTTCCTTCACCCTCACTTCATGACATGTAAATTAAGACCTTAATCTTAATTACATTTTCCATTTAGAAACCAGAAGATCAAGCTTAGAATGAAAAACTGTCTTAACATGGATTGTAACATGGAGGGTAGCGAAGATTGGGTGATACTTTTTTCCCCCCAGTTTCTGAAGTTGAGTTCTTAGTTTGACTCTAGTGATGGATGTAAATATGTAGAATGTGTCCACCTGTATTTGAACAAAGCCGCTTTTCGAGTCAGTTGGGGACATCTTTTCAGTTGACTATTATTTGAACTGAGTCATTAACTGTCAAGTTGAAGTCTTTTCATTATTCAGTGACTTGATTACACTTCTTCTCTCTCCACTTTTTCTAGTCTTGCATTGAGGCCCATGAGAAGGACATGGAGCTCTCATTTGCTGTCCAGCGCAGTAAGGACATGGTGTGTGGCATCTGCATGGAGGTGGTCTATGAAAAAGCCAACCCCAGCGAGCGCCGCTTTGGGATTCTCTCCAACTGCAACCACACTTACTGTCTCAAGTGTATTCGCAAGTGGAGGAGTGCTAAGCAATTTGAGAGCAAGATCATAAAGTGAGACTCCTCCCCAATCTTCGTTTGTGCTTTCTATTTTGGGGAAGAATTTAGTATCTTGTGCCAACTTTCAACCAGATGGACCGCATTTAAATGCATGCATTTTATCTTGAAACGGGGGTGTTCTAATTGGAATTTCTTCTTTGTATTTCAGCTAGCTTCTAGGTTAGTTGGTAGATCTTTTATTTGAATGAGGAAACCCTGTGTATCAGTTAGTAGAATCTTCGTGCTTTTTCTGAGGAGACTGTGTTTAATGGATTAGCCAGTTTAGGCTCAGTGAAGAAACTTACCTAGCTCTGAATGTATGTTTCCTGACGTTTTACATTTTCCACTTTCCTATTCATCCATTAAGCTAGCCAATAATCCACCATCCTTTAAAGATTGTTCTCATAACTGAACAAAAACTACATAATCTAAACAGAGCAAAGTTACAAGAAATAAATTTATTTAAATGAAAGAAAAAGGAGTCCGTGTGAAATGTCTTCTTTTGTTTTCTTTTTTCTGTTTTTGTTTTTCGTTTTTTGTTTTTTTTAAATGGAAGTTACTTTTTTTGAGTGAACTGGCTAGCCATTGAGTTGATTTAAGGAGTTTGTCTTGCCTCAAAAAGAAATGGTCAGTTGTGTGACAGTGTGTGGAACCCTTTCAGGAAATGCCCACTTGGCTTTCAGTTAAGTCTTTTAAGTATGGAGGTGACGCACCAGGGTGTGTCCTTGAGGAAGAGTGGGCCTGTCACGGGGGATGTGCATTGCAGCCTGTTCATTGTTTCCCAGGTCCTGCCCAGAATGCCGGATCACATCTAACTTTGTCATTCCAAGTGAGTACTGGGTGGAGGAGAAAGAAGAGAAGCAGAAACTCATTCAGAAATACAAGGAAGCAATGAGGTATGAGCACTGCAGCCTTTTCTCAGGCTAAGATCCCAACGTCGCTTGGGTTCACTTTGAAAAGAACAGTGCTGCATTATATACTCCTACCTCCTTCCTACCCTTTCTTTGCCTTCCCAGTACAGTTCCTTTTTGTCACCCCTGATAACACTTACCCGTTGTGTACCTTGCTATAACGCAGTCCTTGGGGTGCACGCCCAGGGACTGGGTTATAACGAAGTCTGCTCTGATAGCTGAAGCCCCGTGAGTGGGTTCCGGCCTCATTCTGAGTCCGTGTTACAGTTGTCCTGTGTGCTTGTGTGTGGGCTTCCTAGAAGATTTCTCTCTCTGCTGGATCTGCGGGACTGGAGCTGTTACGAACAGCACAGACTTGAACCAGAGTATCTTGCTGTAGTCAGTGCTTCATGCATTAGTACACACATGTTTTAGAACACACCTTGGGGAGGGCTGGAAGCAGACATGCTGGTTCTATCACTACCTGTTTAAAGAAATACCGGATGATAGTCAAATACAGACCTGAAATCCGCTGTGAATAAGGGTTGCGATATTTTCCTTTCCAGCAACAAGGCGTGCAGGTATTTTGATGAAGGACGTGGGAGCTGCCCATTTGGAGGGAACTGTTTTTACAAGCATGCGTACCCTGATGGCCGTAGAGAGGAGCCACAGAGACAGAAAGTGGGAACATCAAGCAGATACCGGGTAACTCTCGCTGTTTTTTTAAAGGAGGGGAAATACCACGCTATCAGTTGAGTCCCACACAGATTGGGGTAGGGGAAGGAGATTAACACTCAGGTCTGGGAGTGAGACTGGCAGATGAAAGAACGGCAACCTCAGGAAACTGGGAGGGATAGGTGAGGAAAAGCTAGCTCTTAAAGGTCTAGAGTAAGCGGTTTGCCTCAAGTAACCAGAGGGGAGGAATTGGTAAAGTCAACCCTAAATAAGAAGTCTGGTTCGTCATGCCCTCTGGTGTGCTGGATGTTTTGCCTTAGAAACAACAGAATAGAAGATGCTACTGGACAGTGCCATCCCTATCATGGCCTTGTTTCTTACAGGCCCAACGAAGGAACCACTTCTGGGAGCTCATTGAGGAAAGAGAGAACAGCAACCCCTTTGACAACGAAGAAGAGGAGGTTGTCACCTTTGAGCTGGGCGAGATGTTGCTTATGCTTTTGGCTGCAGGTGGGGACGACGACCTGACAGACTCTGAAGATGAGTGGGACTTGTTTCATGATGAGCTGGAAGATTTTTATGACTTGGATCTATAGCAGCTTGACGTGGCCGGTGAACTGGTCTGCTGAGCCTCAGACAGTAGCTGTGCCCTCTGGTGGTGTGGCAGTGCCCGAGCTTCTCTCCTAGGCAGGCCTATCAACTCCAGGTGCTGTCGTGATCCTCCTTACCCAGGGCCTGTCTCGATCCCTCACCTTGCCCCAAGGAGTGTGTTGTTTTCTGTTAAAAAAGTTACAAAAATAAACCTTAAAGCTAGTTTTTTTGTAACATGAATTTAACTGTCAGACAGTTAGCATAGGTATGTTGCGTCATCTGTTTTCCACCAGATTGACACCGTTCTAGGGTAGCGTTGATGGACTCTCCACACTTAGAGGATCCCAGGTTCAAGAACAGTATTTGCCCTGCTTTGGGGTACAAGAATAGACGGGATGGGTGACGGATCTGCACTGTGGCACGTAGCCTGCCACAGACTTACGAGGTGGATACCCAAGGTTTCTGGTGAAATCTGCACATCTGTGTTTTTAAATCTGTTCTCTACCCCATAACTCCCACTGTGCACCTGTTCTATGGTTTTGGTCTCTCGTTGAATTGCGCACAAGTCCTACTACTGGGTAACCAGAACCAGGTGCGAATGTGTTGAGATTTTTACTGTGTTGAGCACGACAGGGAAGTTGAGAAGGAACACGTACAACAGATGCAGTGGCCTGCCCGAACGGCCGAGCTGGAAGCGGACTCCCGGGGGCTGATGGACTTGGTGTGTGTGAGACTGTGAAAAGCTTCTCATCCCTGCATAGATGCTGTGTTCTTAGCCTTAGTGGAAAAACTTTGGTTTAGTGGTTTCAGCCTTGTATGGCACATAGATGTGAAGGACAAAGCAGGATATCGGTAGCTGTCGGTAGAGCGGTGCTAGCTCTGTCTATATAAATAGTAATGGGCTTAGCCTAGCCACAGGGGTCGCCTGTCTGCTGGTCCCATTCAGTAACACAAACCAGGGCTCGGATACAGAGTTGTATTTAATATTTTAGGGTCTCCCAGCCTCTCCAGGCCAGGCACTTTGGGACAAATGTTTGTCCTCATTTGAGGTTTTGTTGTCAGGGTCAGGTTTTTGTGTTTGTTTTTGTGGGTATTTGCCTCATTCCATCCCTGAGCTTTGCAGGTAGACAGATGTGATTCAGAACTTAGTTGAAGGTGTTTCTTGTAGTGGGGTTATTGGTTGGCAGGAGTAAGTCATGCTTTTCCACTGAAGGGGGGCGGGGGTGGTAATCCACAAGACGAGCTAAAGTTAAGTTGTTAGAAGATTGGAAACTTTAGCTTTGAGTTTTGTCGCTCTAGTTCCTAAAATAACTTGGAGATGCTCCTCATTTGTCCCATCTACTGCTTTGACTCATTCCTTGGATCCCACCCATTCTTTCACTCTTAAGAAAAAACAAGTAATTGTTGCAGAGGTCTCTGTATTTTGCAGCTGCCCTTTTGTAAGAAGCACTTTTCCCAAATAAAACAATAAAAAAAACACCCCACGTTGGCTTTCTGTTTTGTGTAATGAGCTGTTCTGAACCGTGTAGGTGTCAAAGCATAGCATTTGTTTCTTGACTCTGATCACTTCATCAGTTCTGTGGATACGGTTCATTGAGAAAAGTGATAGCTTCCCTAGACCTGGCCTGCTGAGAAATGTTTGAGCGAGACCTTACCAGCTGGGATCATCACACTATTTTGTACTTCAGAATTTGCAAGACTAACTCTTAGGCCGCCTTGAGTGGCCAAAAGCACTGCCATCCGCCTGTGGTTGAACTCGCTTCCTACCCACAAATAGCAGGTAGGTCACAACACATGGTGTGTTTTGAAAGGGTACTTTTCTCTCCGACTGTTCTATCACACTTCTAATAAAAACCATTCTGTGGTGACCTTTTTGCATTGCTTATTTGTAAAAATACTGCTTCCTAGAGGGGCACCTCGGGGGCTCAGTCTGTTCTCAGCTCAGGTCATGATCCCCGTTCCCTGCTCATCTGGGAGCCCACTTCTCCCTCTTCCTCTGCCCCTCATCCTACTTGTGCTCGCTGTCACTCTTAAGTAAGTGGAATCTTTTAAAACATTTGGATTAGGAATTACCAGTGTTTGCATTTCTAGGAATCGTGTGTATTGTGACTTGGCATGGTCATGGTAACAGTTGTAGGTCCACAAGTTGTCTGTTTCTGTGAGCTCATGTATCCACTGCTTCCTTCCAGAAGTGCTGAAAGTCTGCCTTCAGCTGCTACTGACCAGGTCGTGCTGGGGTTCACGTGCACCCCCAGAGGGGTGGAGAGCCTCCGAGGCAAGGTAGAAGTGTTGGGGCTCTGAGTGGGGAAGAGACTTAAAAGGCTCTGCATTTTGGTGTCTGGAAAGTAGGGAGAGGCTCATCAGTAGCTGCCCTGTTGACGTATTTGAGTCTGTGGTCCAGGGAATGGTCTACGGAGGCAGTGACCATAGCTTACTGGAGTTGAGGTACGTTTGTGTTGGGAGCAGCTCCCTTTGCATCTTGGAAAAGGCAGGGGAAGTTCGTGTATCCGCCAGTCATAATGTGTGTTGCTGTCTTGTCCTGTGCATTGCACGTGCGCTCTGTGTGCCCGCCTGTTGAAAGTGGAATTCTCCCTTCTCCACTGCACAAAACTGGTCTCAAATCTCTGCCCCGCCACTACACACACCACAGTAAGTGCTGTTTCCATTTCTTAAACTCCTGTGAGCTCCCACAGATTCATTTGTTTTTGTTTTGTTTTGTTTTTTAAAGATTTTATTATTTATTTGAGAGAGAGAATGAGAGAGAGAGCATGAGAGGGGGGAGGGTCAGAGGGAGAAGCAGACTCCCTGCTGAGCAGGGAGCCCGATGCGGGACTCGATCCCGGGACTCCAGGTGTCGCTTAACCAACTGAGCCACCCAGGCGCCCCCACAGATTCATTTGAAGCAAATAATTACCCACTTGAGATGGAGAAGGTGCAGGATATGGAGAAAAAGGGGTCATGGTTGTCACAGCATAGCAGCCTGTCCTAGGTTGAAACCATCATTTTATAAGGAAAACTAAAAAAGGTACTTCTGTTTAAAATACTCAATTATGTTCAGAATATTTTTTTAAGGCATCTTACTCACTCAAGGTAATCAAGTAAAAACTAAATTCCCCAATTATATGATGAAGTAAATTGTCTTAATGAACCAACACAGACTTGCGTGGTTTAAAATTGGTATTTGGTATATAGATACTAGTAGAATATTGCAAACTGTTCTTGCTTTCTTTTTCTTGTCTTACCCATTGGTAATAAATGTTACTGATGGAAATGTTATTTTAGAAGGTGACTGGTCTAGTGTGTTTCCAATTTTTTTTTAAAAGATTTTCTCAGCACAAGCAGGGGGAGTGGCAGCAGGAAAGGGAGAAGCAGGCTTCCCTCTGAGCAGGGGGCTAGATCCCAGGACCCTGGATCATGACCTGAGCTGAAAGTAGACACTTAACTTGCCTGAGCCACCAGGTACCCCAGGAGACTGGTAGTTTTTGAAATGTCAGAAGCATTTATTTAAATTATTACTGGCTCAATCAGTAGAGCATGCAACTGTAGATCTTAGGGTCATGGGTTCAAGCCCCACATTGGACACAGAGCTCAGTTTAAAAAAAAAAATACTGTTGTAAACAGGGTAGTTTAAGTATCCTTCAAACACTAGAAGCAGTTTGAGAGTTTCCATAGGCTTGAGCAGCAGGTGGAATTTTAAGATTTTGAGTGGGGACAGAGGGGTCAGAGGGAGAAGGAGACTCCCCCCGCTGAGCAGGGAGCCCGATGTGGACCTCCATCCCGGGACCCTGGGAACATGACCTGAGCTGAAGGCAGACGCTTAACCGACTGAGCCACCCAGGCACCCCGGCGATCCTCTTTAAAGAGCCACACAAAAAAAGCATTTTTTTACCTTGTTCTAGTGTTCAATAACTAGTAGTCAAGCAAGTTAGTGATCAATAAACCATCCTGCACGCAACCTTTCCTTAGTCTAATTTAGATCTTAGAACATTAAAGCAGCTATTCTGGTATGTACCTTCTTGTTCAGTAAACACATTGCTGCTGTTCTGATTAGTGTTAGGAGAGTAGTTGGATTTGAAGGGATGTGCAATTAGGAAAGCTCATTGGAATGTATGGTCAGCCCAGATGCTCTGTTTTTATAGGTTGGAAGTTCTAATATATATTACACGGCTCAACTGTGTGTGTGTCTGTGTGCGTGTGCATATGCAGATGTGTAGAATACACACCTATTGGTTCCCTAGCCTTTTTCTGGTCAAATTTCAACCTTAGAGAAAAACTGCAATACACCATTTAACGTTTGCCGCATTTGATTTTTTATTCTGTATGTCTTTGACCCTGCTGATCCATTTGAGAATATTGTAGGCGTGACATGCTTAAGTACTTCAGTCAAGTACCTGTTTTTTGCTCTGCAACCCCAATACAAGTATCAGGGTATATCATGGCAATGCGATGACTTTACAAATTTCTCCCACTGTTCCAGTAATCTTCTCGGGAGGAAGGGTCCAAGTCCAGTTACCTACACTGTACTAACTTTTAACCTTAATTCATCAGATTTTGAGTTCCAATTTTTTTTTAGCTACTTGGTATATAAGGAACAGATTGGTAGATCCTCCCTCCCAAGATTTACATTCTAACAGATCCTTTTTTTTAGTAGGATCCACACCCAGCATGGAGCCCAACACGGGGCTTGAACTCAGTCCTGGAGATAGGACCTGAGTTGAGATCAAGAGTAGGACCCTGTAACGGACTGAGCCACCCAGGCTATTCTAACAGATCCTTAATGAACCTGTTCTTCCTCCAATTCATCCTGCTCAGTGAGTTTTGGCATCTTGTGGACTCCACATTTCTAGCACTGCCTCTTTTTTGCTCCCAATGCCAGCCCTTTATCATCTCTTGGCACGGGTACGTGCTGCTGGGGGCAACGTCTGTGCTACTTCCCGTCCCATTTCTCTTCCCCCTCCCTGGCAGTGCTGTTCACGGCCTCCTATCACACCTGTAGACCACCTATGAGAAAATCCTTAACCTTGACTCATTTCTCATGCCATTATTTCCTTTTTTTAAACCTCAGGATGTCTTTAAAGTGTACAATTTAGTGGTTTATCCAGTACAGCGTTGTGCAGTCCTCATCACTGTCTGGTTTCAGACGATTTTCATCCTCTCCAAAAGAAACCGGATTCCCGTTAGTCACTCCCTTTCCTCCTCCCCTTTATCCCCCAGCAACCGCT